TGACTGGGGCTGGAGACAGCGCCGGCGCCAGAGTCAGCCTCCCTCCCTTAGGGACTAGGAGGCGAGCTCCCAGGAGGGTGCGAAACAGACAGACAGATTTGATAAAACTCGTGATTTTGTATTCTTAATCGATATAGCTGGAGTTTCTAGGAAATGGACTAGCGTAGGGAGCAGTTTATAGACCCTGCCCAAGGGACTGAGAGCACGTAGTCGCAGCTGCGGGCGCAGTGCACTACACTATGGGGAGGAGGCCCGCAGTGGCGGCGACGCTATCGCCAGCCCCAGTCTCCACACAATTTCCGCACATTTCACGTATTCATTAGAACTAATAGACAGTTTTTCTTATTTTTCCCCTATTGGGAGGGTCCTGTCCTCCTCCAGTGTTGCGGCCCCTTGTATGTCGGTAGCCAGCTATCCTCTCTAGGACACTAGCCAGCCCCGTTGTAGTGCCTGTGCACTACACTGCCCCTCGAGCAGGGCCTACAAACGGCACCTAACGTAGGCCCATTTCCTTGAAACACTAGCTTATATTTATCGAAACACAGTAATTCTTAAGCTTTTCAAAATCTGTTGTTGTTCGATTCGCCCCACTCTGGGAGCTCGCCTCCTAGGCCCTGTGGGGAGGATGTAGTGCACAGGCACTACAATTGTAGTGCGCGGCGCCTACTGCTGCGACTACGCTGTTTCCTGTCCCTCTACAGGTCTACATACTACACCTAGATTAGCCCCATTTCTCGGGCTCTACAGCTTTATTCCGTCGAAAAACGACAATTCAAGAAGTGTCTGTGTTCTCTGTCTTCGATTCGCTCCCTTCTCGGAGCTTACCCCCTAGACCCTAGGGGGGGAGTTCGCATTGGTGCCGGCGCTATCGCCAGCCCCAGTCTCCACACGATTTCCGCACAATTCACGTTTTCACTAGAACTCACTAACGGTTTTTCTTATTTTTTCATGTATTGGGGTGGTCATGTCCCCCTCCAGTGTCGCGGCCCCTTGCAGGTCGCTAGCTAGCTATCATCCCTAGGACACTAGTCAGCCCCATTGTAGTGTCTCAGCACTACAACAATGGAGCTTGCTAATGGCCTATGGACGATAGCTAGCTAGCGACCTACAAGGGGTCGTAACACTGGAGGAGGACAGGACCCTCCTACTAGGATAAAAGTAAGGCAAATTGTCTATGAATTAATATGCATACGTGAAATGTGTGGAAAATGTGTGAAAACTGGGGCTGGCGATAGCGCCGGCACCAGTGCAGGCCTCCTCCCCATAGGGCCTAGGACGCGAGCTCCGAGAGTGGGGCGAATCGAACAGATAGATTTTGAAAAAACTTAAGAATTATTGTATTTCGATAGAAGTAAGCTGCAGTTTCCAGGAAATGAGCCTATGTTAGGTGCCGTTTGTAGGCCCTGCTCGAGGGGCAGGTAGCAGCGTAGTCGCAGCAGTAGGCACTGTGCACTACATTTGGGGGCTGTTCTGGGATCGAACTCTTTGTTCTTTCCGGACTTGGGAGTAGAAATACCATGTTTTAATAACTCATGCCTAGAAATCTTCGCTCGGTAAGGGATGCACCTCCGCAACGGACGCGTTATCGGCCCCACACCGCAAGAGACTTCTACAATGTCAGTAAGCAAAATGCCGAGCGGGACACCAGCCCATCATCGCCACGCGACTCCTATGCCCACCGTGGCAGAGCGGCCGCATGGGCATAAGGAGGCGCCTCCACAAGTGATGCCTATGACCAATGTTATGCCAGGGGACAGTGCCTTCGTCACGTGGGACCAATTCCAGTCCGCTATGAGTGTAATAAGAACTGTTATAGGCGGGACCGGGGAATCGGGAGCAACGACTCCCATACTACCAGAAGACAACAGCACTATGCAGGCCTTTCTGCTGCGCATCGAGCGCCAGTACACCCAGATGGGATTGGAGCCGCGCGAGTGGGGAAATGCACTTATTGACTACCTCGTGGGCCTGGCTCTAACGCATTGGATGTATCTACGGAGAACTATGGACCTAAGCGACTGGGCGACAGTACAGCGCAGGCTTTTGGAGCAGCTTAACAGAACAATGTCGCAGAGTCAATTGTTAGCGGAGTTGGCTAAAGTACGGTGGAATGGAAACCCGAAGGAATACACGGACCGGTTTGCGGCTGTAGCGGAGCGTGGTTTGGGTTTTGCCCCCGACGAACTCGCGGACTATTACTGCACCGGGCTACCGACAGACCTCCATCTTCTAATAACCGATAACGGATAAGTCAAATATCAGTCGTGGGAACAAGCGGCGACCGCCGCAACACGGCTCTACGAGCCCAAGCAGAGCCTGCTGGAACTCCGAGAAAGGACCAGTCGAGCCTTTAGGGCTGCCGTCGAAGCTAATGGACCCCGTGGGCGCCAGGAAATTGAAAATCGTTTTGGGGGAAGCCCACGCGAACTGCTTTGAGTGTCAGGGTCGCGGACATCCGGCGCTTGTCTGCCCAGCAGACACGTGCCGGAACGTACCAGACATCCGGGGGAAATATGCAAGAAGTGTCGCGGCGTGGGACACTATGCTCGGGACTGCCTTACGTATGAACGAGTCCGGCCCGAGTCGGTGGACAAGAGCAGTAGGGCGCCCACCCGTCTTAGCACTGAGAAGACGGAAAGATTAAACGTGCGGGCCTAGGCGTGGTAGGAGACGAGCGTTCTAGGCCGCGTAGCCATGGCAAAGGGATGATGTATGAGGTAGCGACAGGCCCTAATGCCATTCCAGTCTCCCTTGAGTGGGGAAACCAACTCCTCCGCACTGCGGGAAGAACTAATGCGAGCGATGGACACGCGGAAGGGACTCAGCCGTTTTCGGAAACGCGGCGGGAGTCTGGGTCAGCGTCGATCCTGAGTGAAGAGACTCCGGACGCGACGGCGGATAGCAGCAAGTAGTCTGCAGAGGCAATAGAAGACGACTATAGGTCAGATACGACGGAGTTTGTGCCACACTGGTGGAGGGACACTTGCACGAAACAGTCTTACGACCAAGGGGGAGCGTTATGTTGTGCGGGTGCGACGGCGGTACTTCGCGTTGAGCTCGCAGGGAGTCCTTGTGAGGCCATCTTGGACACCGGGGCTTCGAGAACTTTCACTAGTCCTAAAATAATCGAACGACTGCAGCTGGAAGTGCGGAGACTTCCAAAAGAACATAGGTTCACCATTGCTACAGGTGCACAGCTACGCATTGATCGGGTAGTGACGGGATTGACGCTGTGGTGCGGACATACACGTTTTTCCGGAGACCTTTTAGTGGGACCCCTTCCCTACGACTTAGTCTTGCGTTTGGATTGGCTGACGGAACACAAGGTGGCCTGGTATGACAAACTCTAAACCTATGTGAATGGCCAGTGGTGCGAGTTACCGGTCGTTCGGGCTGGTGCAGCAACGCTGCAAGGTGACAGGCCCACCGTTGTCCACCCAAGGACCCCAGCAGAGCAAGCATATGAGATATTGGCCAAACGAGTGGCGGGCAAGTCAGCCGAGGACAAAGCTCTATTCCTACGCCCGCCTCCAAGGAGGTATAAGTCCCACGCGAAGACTAAAGCGAAGGCGGCGATAACGTCGCTCGTTCGTCAGGCGGCGGCCGACACAAATGATCTCAGGACTCCATTGCACGGTTTGCATCTCATACTGGCTTTGCCCGAAGCCTGTTCTGCAGTGCCCCTAAGGCTCTCGGATGAATGGCAAGGCGCGCTTTGTTGCGCGTTAATTGGGAATCGATCCACGTCCTCCGGCTGGCGTAGTCGTTTGACCTCAACCGCCTCGGTGGCAGCGGAGAGTGACGAGGAGTCTCCCTGGCCTATGGCAAAACTCGAGCACACTCTGTTTGACGAATGGATAACTTCGCCAGAGGCGCAGGATACTTCATGTGAGGTTGCCCATGTGTTGCACGAGTATCGAGCGGTTTTTCCCGATACCTTACCTAAGGGATTACCGCCGAAGCGCGCTCATGATCACCATATTCTACTTGTGCCCGGAAAACTTCCCGCGAAATCTGCAGTATACCGTATGACCCCAGATCAGCTCACATTCCACAAACAGGAGACAGCTAAATTATCGGACAATGGTTGGATCGGACCGACTTATTCGCCTACTTGCTCTCCTACGATCATGGTGGACAAACGTGATGATGGCTCCGGGGAGCGGAAGATGCGTATGGTTGTCAATTACCAGGCTCTAAATGCCCTTGCGATAGCCCCTGATTTTCCACTACCTCCCATCCAAACCATTCTGGAGATGCTGGGAGGCGCCAAGTATTTCTCCACCTTGGACCTGGAAGCAGGATTCCATCAAATACGTATGGCTAAGGAAGACCGGTGTAAGACGGCTTTCTGGTCCGTTCTCGGACAATTCGAGTACCGAGTGATGTCCTTCGGCCTTAAGGGTGCTCCCGCTACGTTCCAGGCCAATATTAATGCCTATCTACAACCCTTTTTGGGACAGAGCGTTATTGCGTACCGAGATGATCTACTTATCTATAGTTCCGATCTCTCTGGGCACGTTTCTCTTCTGCGACAAGTCCTAAGCATTTTTCTTAGACACCAGTTCTACCCAAAATTCCGCAAATGCAAGTTTGCAAAGCAAACAATTACATATCTGGGTTACACCATTTCTGCTGCGGGGATCAAACCTGCAGAAGATAAAATCGCAGCCATCCGGCATTGGCCAGAGGCGCTGGAGAACGAAACGCAAGTGCGCCAGTTCCTCGGTACCGTAAATTACTATCGCATGTTCATGGGACCGGACTATGCAGACGTTGCCCGGCCGCTGGTTGATCTAACACGTTAAGACGTCAGTTTCGAATGGACAGCGCTTCACACGCAAGCGGTGCTGCAGCTCAAACAGCGTTTAATCGACTTCAATACATTACAAGTCCCTGACACGACGAAACCCTTCGAGTTATACACAGATGCCTCTGGTTATGCGATCGGAGCAGTTCTCGAACAAGACGGTAAACCCATCGGCTTCCTCAGCCAAGTCATGAACCCCACGCAACAGAGATTGTCGGTCTACGATCAGGAACTCTTGGCGTTGGTCATGGCACTGGACAAGTGGTTGCGCTTGCTCCGTGTCTCCAAGGTAACGCCTTACACTGACCATCAAGCTCTCACCCATCTCCAACGACTCCAAGCATCGAAGCCTCTGCGCGGACGCACCGCCCGGTGGCTAGACTTCCTTGCAGAGTTCCCCGATTTGCACATCACGTATGTTCAAGGAGCGCGTAATCAAGTTGCCGACGCCTGGCCTCCCTAACATCTGCTCGCACGACACACCATCGGTACCGCTGATGCTCGCAATAGGACAAGCGAGCGCGGCTCCCCGCTCTCGTGGTCCGCCTCCCAACTACCGAGAGCTCGCCGGAATTCGTCCGCGACGACCTCGACGACGCAGCATGCCGTCTGCACCTTCACCTACGCCGCCGGAACCCAACCCAGAGCCGGAACATCCTACACTCACAACGAAGACACCAGCTGACCCTCATGATGTGCGCCATTGGCTACAAGCTTACTCGAAGTGTCCTGTTTTTCGCGTTCCCTACAAAGCCGCAGCAAACCAACCAGGAGACGCTCTGCAACTCGAGTTTTGTAATCGCCAATTTACCTTTCGCTACGTAGAGCCTTACCTGCACATCCGCGTTCATGGACTGTCGCGCATCTGCGTCCCACAATTCCCTGAGTTCCTTACTCACGTTCTGCATTCACATCACGACTATGTCACAGCCGGCCATCGAGGCCAGAAGAAGACCTTTGCTGCTCTCAGCAAGCACTACTACTGGCCAGGAATGCGCGCCTACACTACTGCTTATGTTGAGTCATGTACCCACTGTCGAGCGTCAAAGTCTATTAACCAGAAGCCTGCAGGCCTTCTTCAACAGTTGCTCATCCCTTCTCGTCGATGGGCGCACGTGAGTCTCAACTTCATCACAGAACTTCCCCTTACAACGACAGGGCACGACTCGATCCTTGTCATGGTCGACTCCCTCAGCAAGATGGCTCCTTTCGTTTCTGCAAAGAAGTCATTCACAGCAGCAGACACCCTGGAGCTTCTCGCAGACCGCCTTATCCGCTATCACGGTTTTCCAGAGGTGCTCATATCGGATCGCGAACCCCGTTTTCAGTCGGATGTTTAGAACCAGCTCTGTCGCCGCTTTAACATCAAACGGTGCATGTCCTCGTCCTACCATGTCCAAAGCGACGGCCAAACTGAACGGGTTAACCGCACACTGGAGCAGATGCTTCATACCTATATCAAATCTGACCAGGGCGAGTGGGAGCGTTTGCTTCCGGCCTTGGAACTTGCCTACAACACCACAAGTCATTCATCCACTGAGCTCTCTCCTTTCGAGGTCGTGATTGGAGAGAACCCATTGACTGGTGCGGACCTTGATATCGTCGGCGCGTTAGCTCCTACGCTCACTCCTCCGATGACTTAGCTTTTCCGGCAGCTCTGCGACAGAGCACAGAGTCACATCCTGAAGGCAAAATGGCAGCAGAAGTACTACGCAGACACGAAGCGCTGAGCAGTGGAGAATGCGGTGGGCGACAAGGTCTGGCTCAGCAGCAAGCACCTACCGCCTTTCAACAGCTGCCCTAAGTTCGAGCCCCGTTACCGTGGACCCTTCGAAGTCATCGAACGCATAGGAACCGTCGCTTACCGTCTCGCTCTGCCTCCCACGTATGAATGCCATAACGTTTTCCACGTTTCGCAGGTAGTTCCCCACCGCCCCCGCCCTCCCGCCTGGCCTCCTATCCACGATGCAGCAGGCAATCCCACAGAGGAATACGAAGTCGACTATATTATGGACCAACGCGGCTCGAGAGATGCAGCCCAGTACCTCGTGAAGTCGAGCGGGACCCCTGAAGATCAAGCCACATGGGAGCCAGCTCATCACCGTACTGGCTGCCCGTGTTTGCTTCGCGCTTGTCGCCGCCGCCAACGAAGACGTCTTCAGGCTCGAAACAACATTGGTCCTTCCGAGGCGTAGACGTATGGGTCCGCCATATTCCAGCTCCTACAGCAAGGGCACCCTTCAATGAGGAGGGGGGAGGGAGCGCTGCTCACCGCGTGCGCTCACGGCGTCAGCTTTAGAAGAGCACAGAGATTGAAAAGGCAAAAATAATGTGTTTTGGGGTAGGTCTCTTCAGTCCGGCAAGGGGGGAAGTTGTAGTGCACAGATACTACAATGGGGCTGGCTAGTGTTCTAGGGATGATAGCTAGCTGGCGACCTACAAGGGGTCGCAACACTGGAGGAGGACAGGACCCTCCCAATAGGAAAAAAATAAGAAAAACTGTCTACTAGTTCTAATGAATACGTGAAATGAGCGGAAATTGTGTGGAGACTGAGGCTGGCGATAGCGTCGGCGCCAGTGCAGGCCTCCTCCCCACAGGGCCTAGGAGGCGAGCTCCCAGAGTGGGGCGCATCGAACAGACAGATTTTGAAACACTTAAGAACTGTTGTATTTCGATGAAATTAAGCTACAGTGTCCGAGAAATGGGCCTACGCTAGGCGTAGTTTGTGGGCCTGGATGCAGCGTAGTCGCAGCAGTAGGCGCTGCGCACTACACTAGCAAGCCCCATTGTAGTGCCTGTGCAATACACCGTGTGTCCGCGACCCTGACACTCATGGCAGTTCGCGTGGGTTCCCCCAGGGCGATTTTCGCTTTCCTGGCGCCTACGGGGTCCATTAGCTTGGATAGCAACCCTGATGGCTTGACTGGTCCTTTGTCGGAGCTCTAGCACGCTCTGCTTGGACACGTAGAGGCGTGTTGCGGCTGTCGCCGCTTGTTCCCACGACTGATACTTCGCCTGCCCGTTATTGGTGATTAGAAGATGGAGGTCCGTCTGTAGCCCGGTGCAGTAGTAGTCAGCGAGCTTGTCGGGGGAGACACCCAAACCGCGCTCCGCTACAGCCACAAACTGGTCCGTTTATTCCTTCGGGTCTCCATTCCACCGTACTTTATCCAACTCCGCTAACAATTGACTCTGCAACATTGCTTTGTCGAACCGCTCCAACAGCCTGCGCTGTACTGTCGCCCGGTCGCTTAGGTCGATCGTTTGCCGTAGATGCATCCAATACGTTAGAGCCGGGCCCACACGCTGGTCAATAAGTGCGTTTCCCCACTCGCGCGGCTCCAATCCCATCTGGGTGTACCGGCGCTCGACGCGCAGCAGAAGGGCCTGCATAGTGCTGCCGTCTTCTGGTAGTATGGGAGTCGTTGCGCCCGATTCCCCGGTCCCGCCTATAACAGTTCTTATCACACTCATAGCGGACTGGAATTGGTCCCACGTGACGAAGGGACTGTCCCCTGGCATAACACTGTTAATAGGTATCACCTGTGGGGGCGCCTCCTTACGCTCATGCGGCCGCTCTGCCATGGTGGGTTTCGGAGTAGCATGACGATGATGGGCTGGCGTCCCGCTCGGCATTTTGCTTACTGGCATTGTAGAAGCCTTCTGTTGTATGGCGCCGATAACGCGTCCGTTGCGGAGACGCATCCCTTATCGAGCGAAGATATCTAGGTGTGAATCATTAAAACATGGTATTTCTACTCCCAAGTCCGGAGAGAACAAAGATTTCGATCCCGGAACAGCCCCCAAATGTAGTGCAGAACACCTGGTGCGACTACGCTGCTACCTGCCCCCTCGAGTAGGGGCCTATGATAGCCTTCTACCTTCGGCGTATTTCCTTGAAACAGTAGTCCAAATATCACGAAATGCAGTTATTTATAGGTTTTCAAAACCTGTTCCCTTGAAAATCCCTCCCGCTCAGGGTTCTCACCTCCTAGGCCCTGTGGGGAGGAGGCCTGTACCGGTGGCGGCGCTTTTGCCAGTCCCAGTCTCCAGGTATTTACAGACATGTCTAGTGTATGCATGCTAATTCGCCGACAAATTGGCTTACTTCGATCCTAGTAAGAGGGTCCAGTACTCGTTCACCGTTATGACTTTTTGTAGGTCGCCAGCTAGCTATCTTCTGTATGTCACCAGCAAACCTTATTGTAGTGCCTGTGCAGTACATTAGGCGCAGCATCGCAGCCGAGAGGTAAAAGCCAATCTTTTAGACGAGTGCATTTCAGTAGCAGTTTGTTCAACTATGGTGAAAAAAGGCCCATGTATAATAGGGATTCACGACGCTACGTTGGATAAAGGAAGGGTAGGTAGTAACACATTCGAGCTTCTCCACGTAATAGCCACTGTCTATTACTGAATGCACAAGTGACTACGAGCCACTGGGAAAGATCGGTAGAAATACAACGGAGAGCATCTGACAGCAGCTAGACCTGAAGACAAGCCAAGCCTCGAGACAAGCGCCAATTGTCCTAGCTGCGAAGAAGACCTGAAAGTATAAATAACTCAGAACCGAATTAGTGAGCGCGTACCAAATTAGAGAGCTGCTACAGCCCAGGTGTCCGGTTTAAAACTCGAACTCAACATGCGAGGCTAACGGATCCCCAAGTGAAAATGTAGCTAGTTTACAGCTCTAATAAATGCCCATTCAGAGTTGTTCTGTTGTGCAGTTCCTGCTGGAGTGTCTCGACACTAGACCAGATCTCTGGCCGAAAGCGCTTCACAGCACGGTAGTACAAGTCAAGAGACTTCACTTATGGGACATCCAAATAGTGAATGTTCCTGAACGATAGTTTACATGTTTTCTTTGTGGAGAAGCACTACTAGTTTGTGGCATTGCGTCAATAAATATTGATGACTAATGCATAATAACCGCCCAGACAGCAATAGACACACGCAACAAGCTTAGACCCCCTATCTCTGCAACCTGTTTCAAAAAACTAGTTGGCGCAGAAGGACAATTTGTTTCCTTCACTCATCAATACAGACAAGCTGAAGATACCTCTGCGTGGTCACTGCCCTTTACGGTCCCTAGCTTTGACTCACAAGTACTCCCAATCGAACAGTTCTGCAGAAACAAACAGCTCTATCTGAGGGATGTGAGACCAAATGCTCGTGCTAGAAGGCGAACTATTGGACAGCAAAACAGCAGTGAGCAATGGGTGACGCACCTGCAGCAACGGAGTGCCAAGCCCTGCATCGTGTAGAATGAACATCTGCCCCCAACACTATTGCAGGCCACACCGACAACACCAGACGAAACATCTGGAAAGGTAGGTGTTTCATCACATTACAGCAAGGCTAGCTAGTGTGGTCAGCGCCCGCAGCCCACAACGGAACAACACTAAGATGCACTTCCACCCCACAAGTTGAAGGCAGAGCGCCACACGGCTTTAAGATCCCCTAAAGCAATTTATTTATTTTTGGAAAGCTGTGTTTTTCACCAGCGGTAGGCCTCGAGAAGGGAATGGAGACACGCAATAAAGGGGGGTTCATCACGGAGCTGGCAGCCGGCAGGGCCCGCTGAGTGCCTGCGTATGCCCCTCTCCGATATTAGTCTCCTTTCTGGCACACCAGGTAAGCGCTCGTATTCCTGTTTATTCATGTACCTTAAATTGCTTCTTTTTGAAGCCGCTGCGAGAAGTCCCCAGCCATCTTCCCTTTTCTCGCTTGCCTGATGCTACGTCGGGGAACACGACAGGTGGCAGGGCCACGGCGGCTGCTCCCTTCGCTTGGATTTGAGGGGCTTGCGAAACCATAGGGCCGTAGAAGGCCCAACGGACAGACAAGAACAGCATCGCAAAAGTCACTGGAAAAGAGCTGGCCGTTTCCGTGGCTCCAGTGCCGCCTTTCCCCACGGGGCTCTCAGCTCTTCCCTCAGCATTCCGCAGCTTGTACTAGTCGTCTCTTAGTGGCCTTTTTTCAGCCTCCACCTTCCGTTTGGGTCTTGGTTTCTCTTACGCTTTCCTGCGCCCCCTCCTTACTCCCCTGGTTTGAGCAGCGCCAGGCAGATGCACTCTAATACTGAGAGGCTCAGCGCTTGGCGCCACCTTTGGGCTATCGCCGTTGTGGCCTTCCTTCTAGTTGTGGCTCCAGCGGCTCGTAAGCGTCCCCTCCGGCAAGAAATAGTGGATGGAGCTACCATTGAGGCCCCTCAGGCGTCCCTGCACAGATGGTGGACAACCCTTCAGGAGCAAGTCGTTGCTGCAGACTCCACGCGCGCAGTGAGCAGTGAGTATGTTTCACGGCTTCCGGCGGATCAGCAGGATCTGTGCGAACGTTTTTCCCAAGTTTGTCTCGACAGTGTAAATGGCGACGATGATCATAGCAGCAGCGAAATCAGCAGCAGCCGCAGAGATAGCAGTTTGAGGGAGAGGGTCTTCGGAATCGGGCTCGCTGAGATGACGGATTTCGCTCTGGCAGCTCCCTTTTTATTGGCGTCTAAATGGACTGCCTTTACGGAGATGGTGCTGAGTCTTGGGATTCTCAAGGATAAATACCTCAGCAGGTTTGCTGCTCTGCAGGAGAAGCTCGCTCCCTTTCTCCTTATAACGCAGGAAGAACGAGCAGAAACAGCAGCAGCAGCATCCCGGCCTCCGAGCAGGCCTCGCACTCACCGGAGACAATCAAGCAAGCGTGGTAAAAAACATGCTGTTCACGAGACATCGGAACATGCAGCTCTGGCCGCACAGGGGAGGTATTCAGCAGCTGGAGCAGCAGTAGCCGACGCAGCAGCGGCGACAGCGGCTGCAGCTGCTGCTGAGGGGACAGATTTGGGCATTGATATGGAGTATGTGAGAATTAGCTGGACGGAGTTGCAGCAGCTTGCTGAGGAAGAACGCCAGGTAGCCTCCACCTATCTCGCACTAGCTGCGGAGGGAAATTTATTTCATTCAGCGCCGGATGATTGCCTGTGGGAAGCTTTGCTACAGCAGGTAGTCATTAAGGCAACAGCAGCAGCTTCCGCAGCAAAAAGTGGCTTGACCGCGACCTTTCCAGACCTGTACCGCGAAGGTACGGAAGGGTACAATACTGCATTCGCTGCACTTGCTGCTGCTGATGACCACATCCGACTGCTGCTTTCGCAGCAACAGGACACATACGCAGGTAGCCAGCCTGTTCTGTTCTTCTTAAGAGGAATCTTGCTGTCTATATGCGAAGGAGGGGAATGCACTGGAGTTTTTTAAGCGTAGGGGTGAAGCAGCAGCAGCACCTGTTCGTGCTGCTGCTGGTGCTGCTGGCACAGCCGAGGTGCACCTGTGGCATTAGAAGCGAGACAGCCGTGAAGCCTACTGCTGCAGAGCACGTCCGGTGTTATTTTCTCCTGTATGGCCCGTGCAGCATCAAGGCATATGGTAGCATCAACAGCAGCCGCAGCGCCTGCAGCAACAGCAGGATGGCACTTGGAGATCAAGGAAGAGAGACAGGGATGTAGCGTTGGTGGGGTTCTCACTCCATCTGCTGAAGTTAATCCTGTCATCTGTGTCCCAGAGCCGTTACCCTTCTTCACAGTGAGTTAGCCGCTACTGCGTACGGTTCTCCATTTGCCCCGCCTTTTCGCATTCGTAAGGCATCCCTTCTCCGCCTGTAGTGGCGTTGCTACGTGCCGCGAGTGCTTATCGGTATATTGCTGCATTGCGGGCATCATAAGGAACTCATTTGCGGCAGCGTGAGACCATACAGATCTGAATCACCAGCAAAAGTGACAGCAGCGGGAGCTGTAGCAGCGGCACCAGAGATCTCCAAAGAGTTTGACAGTTTGATTGGCGATGTTCTGTCATGTCAACGGGAGCGAGCGGCGTTGGCGCGCCGCGGCAGCAAAAAGAAAGGTCAGTAGATGATACACGATAGGTGCAGCTAACAGTAGACAGTCTGACTCTGGTTAGCTGTAGTTTGTAGCGACAGGCACCAATGGATTTTGTCGGCCTTCGCAGCTTGCTGCTGCACAAGCTTCTCATTTGCTGCTCGTGGCACCAAAAAGCAGTTTTGGCATCTTGAATGACCGCTGACCTGAAGAGACTCTGGAGTAAATGTTTCTTCATTGTGTAGAGCATTTTGCGTTGCTTCCACCCGCATGAGGCATTTGCTCTCATCCTCTCATCTTGAGATCGGACTGTCTTTCCAGTTTTTTTACATCATAATCAGACTTTATTATCCGACACAGGAGCAGAGGGTTCGCTAGGTAGAGGCAGAGGAATCCCCAGGGAATTACCCAAATAGCACCACAACTCTCTAGACAGCAGAGAGTACTGTGCGAACAAATATCAGCAGGAGTCATATACAATGCGTAGATACATGTGGGACGAACAACTGTGAAAACAGGAGGCGCATGTAGGGTCCTGCATCGCCATTCATTCCCCCAACAAAAGAATGCAGCACAGATTCTACGCTGGCTGCGAAATAGCCGGAGTTTTTGACCGCCGCTGCCTCCAACACGCACTATGTAACCGCCTAAGCTTCCGGAGACCGCGGTGACGCATGCATTTCGGCATTTTAAAGTCAGCGGAGCGGGTCTCGTGTCTATCGTAGTCCGGGGGCGCACGCTTTTATTCTGATTCCCCAACCATTCAGTCTCGCATGCGTTGCAAAGGCCAAATGACATTCTCATGCTCGTTCCTGTTTCCCACGTCTGGTTGTGGGGATCAGGCACGTCCATGATAAAGTCATTCTCATGGTTTTGTGTGGTCACTTCGCCGTGTCTCCAGCCCTGAGTCAGGCACTCATTCCTGCTTTCGTCATTGCTGGGAGTACCCTCACAGCTCGGGCATCTCTTGCGCGCTCTGGCCTGCTTACTTTTTTGTCTTTTGCCTCCAGCCGTTCCGTTACTCGTCTGTGGCTTTCACCGCCCCCAACACTTCCTGTCTTGTGTCTAACCCGCAAATATTTGCTTCGGGCCGTACTGACAATCTTTCCGCATGCAAGTGTACACATATTGCTAGAAGTACCGGAGGTCTCCTGCTGGCCTGACGGCTGAACTGTGTGCTTCGACTGCCTGCCGCCAGTGGCCGCTTACTGCCCAAAGCAGAGAAAGAGCAATCTCTGTGCAAATTCCACATAAACTGCATTCAACAGCAAAAACTACGAGGCCTTTCTAATTGAAAGTCAACTTGCTAAGACGGACTCGTTTGGTTGTTGCTTCAAACGGACAGCAGAAAGGAACAGACGTATCCATCCCTCATATTTAAATAAACCCATTCGGTGATAATGCAGCAGCAGGAATTGCTGCAGCAGAAGTGCCTGTGCCGCTACTGCACTTGTTCGTCTGTCCCTCCTTGCTGGTCTTTCCCCTCAAGTTACAAACTCATGCATGCGTTGCTGCTGCTTTACCTGCTGCTGCTGCAACTGCGTCTGTTGCTGCTTAACCTGCTGCCGCTGCGACAGCACCTACTGTAGCAGACAGAATGGTGCTGCTGATGCGCGACGTGTTGCCTGTGGCACTGCACGTGCTGACGCTGCATGTAATTTTATTCGTTCCGCTCGCCGCCGTTGCTACAGCGAGAGTACCGGCAGCAGTAGCACCAACAGCCACTTCACTTTAAGAAGTCCAGAAATCGGGGCCGCGGAACTGGCGGCTAGTCAGCACCCAATATGTACACAATGGCATCTCTGAGCTGCGGCAGTCTGCGTAAATCGCCGAAGCTCTCAGCGCGGTTCAATGCAGCCACGCAGGATCGCCGCCACGCCTCGAATGTTACGTCTGAGCATACACAGAAACAATAGCCGAAATGAGCAAAGTGGGGAACAAATAAATGTGGGGGGCCAGACTTCGTAAAAGTAATGCACGAACACAGGCGAAAAAGCGCGACGGGAACGTTTACAAGCCCATCGTGGCGGGGGGGCAACAACGGATTGCATATCGGCAGTAACAGGAATATAAATGCTCGCAAAGCTGTTCAACTTTCATGCATAAACTGCACGCGCAAACACACTCCGCTGCAAATACCATGTCGCATTTTCGCTAATCCACTGCAACCATCGGTTTCACAGATGAGCATGCGATCGTTCACATGTGTATGGAAGAGCCACGCGGCAAATTGAAAAAGCGCAAGTAAGCAAAATGCTCAATCTTTGAAAGAAATGAAACAACTGCACATCAAAACGCGAAGCCACCTAACACTGGGAACCCCACAACCACTGAGTTCATGGCTCTTAACAGTGAAAAATCTTCATGCTAGTATTGCTACTATCGTTACTGTTGCTGCTGATTTTTCCCTGTGAATTTTACTATAGATTATCGAAGTGGCTATATTCCAAGCTTACACTTCCTGAGAATTGCTTCCTTTGGCGGAGATGGCAAAGCTTCTAATGCCGGTCTCCTCGACCCTTCTTGTTGCTGTTGCTGTTGCTGCAGCAGGGAAAGCAGCTGCAATTGCTGCAGCCGCTGCTGCTGCTGTTGCTGCTGTGAATGCATCGGAGAAAGGGACTTAAGGGGCCTCACAGGAGACGTGTCTCTTTTCATCCCTTTTGGCTGCATCAGCAGCAGCTGCTGGTGTTGCTGCTGGAGCTGCGAGGCCCTCAGCCCGCCAGCCGTAGCCGCTGCAGCAGCAGCTACGGCTGCTGTCGCAGTTCCACTGGCTGCACCTCCTCCTGAAGCGGCAGCAGCCGCTGCAGCTGCAGCAGCAGCAGCAGCCGCAGCGCTTTCTTTCCGGGCAAGCGCCTCTACGTACAAAAGAATCTGCTCAGGCCTTCTGCTGCTGGGCAGCCTGTGCTGGATAATGCAATCTCTGAATAACGAAACGAACTCTTCCAACTCCTGAGGAGATGTGGCGGCGCGCACTCGACGTTGACTAGCCTGAACAAGAAATTTCCAACAGCACATGAGGCCAATCTAAGTTGTCACATAAGAATGTGATAAAAAGGAGTAGAAATAACAACAAAATACAAACAACATGTTGCCTTTTCTGTGTCTGGCTGTTCCCTCGCTGCTTCTCCTGCGATGCCGTAGAGGATTATCTACTGGGGAGTGACACCGGCGATTGTCCCAGCTAAAGTAGTACAACTCCGCATATCAAGCTCACTTCGATACAGCGGCAACTGAGAGCACACAAATCCACTGCGTCTCGTGGAACGCCGGCGGCAATAAGAGCTGAAGGGGAGGAGCAGAGACGCAACAGGTCCTGAAGCACCATTCCTAGTGCCTCACTTAACAAACGCATATTAATACTGTTGCTGCTGCTGCTGCTACTGCTGCCACTGCTGGTGGTCCCAAAATTTTGGCTGGTGCTGCCCGTATTGCTACCCGCCGCTGCAACTCTACGGGAAAGCTCCACTCCTCCTCGTGGCTGCTGCTGCACCAGCTTCTGCTGAGAATCAGGAGCAAATGAGCTTCCGAATACAGGTAGTTCGCCCAAAGGAGCACCAGTTCGCGACCTTGGGGGCCGCCCTCTCTTCCTGGGATTATTCTGCTGCTGCGGATGCTGTTGAGTTCGGGCGTGCGCCCGCCTGAATGCCCCATCCGTAGCTTCATCATCTGTGAGGTGAGTTGTAGGCGGCCTCCTCTTCCGTAGCTCGTAGGGCCTGCCCCCAGATGTTGTTCCAGCTTGCTGTGCTTCGCCACTTGCGCCTGCAGCTGCAGCGCCCCTGCTGCTATCGGTATCCGCTGCAGCCGCTGTTTCGTCTGCGTCTGTTTTGCTGCCTTCGTCTGTTTCATCCATTAATGTCAAGCCCAGTCTCTCGAGCTCGTCGCTATCATCCCCATCACGGAGAGGCTGGCCAGCAGCCGCAGCAGCAGCTGCAGCAGCCCCTGCCCTTTGTCTGTACTTCTCCGTGAGCTCTGCAGCAATGGCGGCAGCGTCAACGGCTTTGTCTCCGCCTCCTGCCAAGATCTCTTCCTGTCTTCTCCTGCACTCTACCGCCAGTTGCCTTGCCTCCGAAAACCCATAGCGTGGCACGGAGAAATACACATTTTTTTTCCTTCCGCTGCTGCCATGCTGCACCGGCCCCACAGCTATCCACTCGTGGCGAGTACTGCTGTAACATACACCCTTCACTCTTTCCACGCGTTTCGCAAGCATCTGCCACCGCAAATAAAGCTCTGGCCCCACCACACGCTGACGGCGCCGTGGTGTAACTGCAGCTCCTACCTCACCTCCAGCATCATCGGCCGCCGCTGCTGTAGCAATAGCTGCTTCCTCTCCCTCTTGTTCCGCAGATACTGCTGCAGCAGACGACTCTGAGCCTGCTCCTACTGCCAGGGATGACCCTGTGTCTGTTGCTGCCGCGCCTTCTGCTGCAGCAGCGGAGACAGTGGCTGCTGCTGCTGCTGCGGCAGACGATAGAGCCACTGCTGCTTCTGACGCCTCCCGTGCTTTCCCTTGCCTCGCATTGCTAGATGTAGATGGCGACTCTAGAGACTCCGCAGCTCCTAAGTTCGCTTCTTCAGCTAAAAATGCTGCAAGGGAAGGGAGGCCATCAGACAGCCGCGCTAGGGCCAACTTGGGCGGTACCGTATCGTCCGCCTTGTCTGGTGTTGCTGCATCAGAGCCTCCTGCTTCAGCTCCCCGTTGTAAATGGTGCTTTGTCCTGGTGCTCCAGCCGTTTACACCTTGCAATCTGGGGTCTTCTCCGCTCGTTTCGGACTTGGGTGGCTGCTGCCGATGCTCGTGCTCTTCCTCCGATTTAGCAGAGCTAGCAAACGTAGCACCAGCAGGAGTGGACCTTCTGTCATGCTCCCCTCGCTCCTGCCACTGCTGCAAGCTAGGTCCTTCGACCTGTTCTAGGCAGGCCACCGAGTCTGGAGAAGCGGTAGCCATTTGAACAGGAGCAATGCTGCCGCTGCTGCTGCTGTTGTAGCTGCTGCAACTATCTGTGCAGCACTTTTATACTTGTGAGACAACACGTGCCGCATGCACTGTTTCAAACTGTGCTGTTAATGGCTTTGGCGTCGTCGCTGTGGTGCTTCAGAGGCGCTGGGTTGAGTTGATGGGCTTCGCTACATTTGCTGCTGCTGCTTCAGTGTCCCTTCCCGAAATTCTCGTACAACGCAGGAGTGAGAGCAACCGTAGGAGCAGGAAGCGCCTTGCCTTCAAGGATTTCAGAGAACAGCTAGGCTCTCGACCCCCCCCCCCCA